CCTTGCCCAGAAGGTCTTGCCTCTCCACCCGAGCCACATTCATCGGCTCCACATCCAGACCCGGATCGGCTTCAACAGTCGGGGCCTCCAAGCTCTGTCTGGTCATGGCCGCAATAAGATGCTACTCGGCCTCCACGACACGACGATCGGCCTGGGATGCAGCGGAGGAGTTAGCTTCAGAAGATACATTGGCTCCCCGGGCCTTTGCCAGCGCAGCTCGCTGTTTCGCTGCCCTGGCTTCATGACGAGCCATCAAAGCTAGGTCTTCCATTTGTTCCGGAGTATGGGGAGGACCTGAAACGAAAACTAGGAAAAATCAAAACCAGGCGGTACAAATCTCAAGGGGCACTCACCGCAGGGATTGGACGCCTGGGCTACAAGGTAACCAAGAGCAAGGGAATCCAAGGATCACGGGCGGTACCTATCCCTGCATCAGAAAGTGCCGGAATGGTCATAAAACCCTTCAATCTTTGAACGTCGTCGAGCTTCAACTTCTTCACGGTTTCTTCCAACTCAACAGTCAGCACGGGCTGTTTGACCTTTGGGGGAAAGCCATTCCACCTCACAGGTAGTCGTTCATCTGCGTAGCGAAGGAAGAAGAAGCGGTTCTTCCAATCATGGATGGAGGATGGGGCTCCGTCGAATAACTTTTGGCGGGGGCGGGCGGCTACGCTAAAAAACCCATCATCTTTTTGAGGAGCAACCTGGAAGAAATGGTGGAAGAGGTCCAGATACGGAGTGAAACCCTTCAATTTGAAATGGATGATTAATACAGAGATAAACCGGTACAAGTTTGGCATGAACTGCGCCGGTACAACGTTGTAATGACAAAAAAAAGGAAAGGTAGAATGGGTGAAGGGGGAAGCGCAGTCTGGCCTTGATGGAGTCCATATGAACCATGATCATCCCGGACGTCTCATAAACAGATTATCCGCACCCCGGAGGCTATAGATGAATGGCGGAGGAATCAGGATCCGTAGATCTTTCAAGGCCCTACGCAAGAAAGACTGCTCGATCTCGGAAACATTATGGATCTGTACGATGTGGCGGGAGACGTCCACAGGAATGCCAAGATCACAAACCTGCAGATCGTCCCCTTCGGTCGCTTCGTCGCCGGAATCATAATCAGCAGGGCGATCAGCCACGACGTTTGCTTGGGCCGCCGCCATCCAGTCACCCCTGGGGGCGATATCCATAGCAGCTTCTGTGCCCGCACCACCAGGGACAACCATATTCGTCATAACTTGTCCCACCACGTCGGAGGTACCAGAGTGGCCGAAAGTACTCACCTCCCCCGAGGAACGGGAACTGGAGCCCGAACCAGAAGACAAGCCGGTAGAAGAGCCTAACCCGGAACTCGACTCGGGAGATATTCCCATTGAACAAGCCATATCAAAAGATGTAAGCAAGGGAGAGAAGAAGAGCAGGTTTAATTACCCGACGAACTTCGAAGAACGGATCGAGGAGCCGGAGAATACTTGCAGAAAAGCTTGAAGGCAATAACGAGCAAGGCAGGAAGGTAAAAGCCCTAATCTACACGGAAGGCCTAGTATTTAAAGGGAGGGGCGCCTTACCTCTATCCAATCCATGCATGACGCATGGCGAGGAGCGTACCCATGGACACGTGTCACGCGGAGACGGACAAGCACACAATGATTATCTTTTCATCGGAAGTTGAACCGGCCAGCATAACCATCACATCAGGGACATCGGTAGGGCGGTACGTCGGGAGTTTTTCTACTTCCTTATATCCCTTGCACGCGTCACAAGTGGGGAACTTGTGTTGGGTTAATGGCCCAACAAGGACTGGCCCACCAACTCATGATAGCCTCCTACGAGCGGCCCAACAATGAATGGGGACTGTCCGACGAACGTCCTCAGAGGGCCCTTGAGATTTCCCTACGAACGTCCTGTTGGAAGCCCAATAAGGAGGGGATACATGCCACTGGTTCGGGAGGAGGCCCACCCCCAACAGGGAGGCAAGTCCCAGGGGACGCACCTACCCCATGATCAGAGGGTGTCCAGGCCCAAAACCTCCGCGGGGTATATAAGGACGAACTGCCCCGTCCTTTGATACGAGGCCAAGGATAGCTCAAGGAATAGGTCAAGGATAACTCAAGTGCTTGGGGACGAACGTCCCCATTCCTTGGCAGAAGAAGAGGACCCCTGCAGGAGACAGGAGCCAAAGTCTTGGGGACGAACGTCCTTTCCCCATGGCGGGAAACTATGATCCTGGCGGAAAACACATTTAATGCAGAAGATTTGGTTGTTGGGATCATGCCGTCCACAACCAACCACGTCAACACATCCAACCACTCATTGGCAGTATAAATAGTAGCATTTATTTCACTGTAAAGGGTTCACAATTTAGCACTCTAACATCATAGCATTTGTATCAGCACGTAGCATAGCACTGTATGAACGGCCCTTCGGCTTTGTAATTGTTCTAGTGAATAAACACTCGTTATTGGGCATTTTCCTTGCTTGTTCTTAATCTCACTTGTCCATCACCCACTCGATACCCTTAGGTTACGTGTTGGGCCTACGGGTTGAAGGGAATAAACCTCAACACAATTTCTTTTTTCTATAATAATTTTCTATGAAATAATTTCTTCTCTCTTTTTTATTTTTTGTGTTTTAAGGACATTAAATTTGTTTATTTTGATTTAAATTTGAAAAAAACACGAGATTACATTTTTCGTATGTGGGAGTTATGTATGTTTATAGACAATATATGTAGTTACATCTGATATTATATAGAGTTACATCTTCTTATGCACGAGTTACATCTTCTTGTGCGTGAATTACATCTTTTAATGCGCGAGTTACATTTGAGTTTGCCTCAACAAATTACATTTTGCATACTGCTAAGTTAGATTTTCCATGAACGCGAATTATATTTTCCGTAACACGAATTATATCACAACATAAAGCCTCCAATTGAAACCAAACAATCACTGTTTTGCAAAAAAAATGCAAAAAAGTGATTTTTTTGGCAAAAAGGCGAGTTTGTTAAAACATTTTTATGGCCTTAATATTAAAAAAGATATATATTCACTACTTAAGTTAACCCTTGCTATTGAAACCAAAAAAATCACTTTTTTGCAAAAACAAAATGATTTTTTGTTGGCAAAACAATGATTTTTTGGCAAAAAAGACAAAAAACATTTTTTGCGATCTTAATATTAAAAACAAAACATACTATCTATTTATGTAAAGTATTTGACAAATTAGACTCCTTGTTTTCACTAAAATCAATGTTTTATTTCTTATCATACGTATTACACAAGTTACATTTCGACTTGTCTGCAGTTACATTTCTTATCAATGTGAATTATATTTTTTTGCACGCGAGTTACACCATTCTGCTATTGGGACAATGAAAAAACAAAAAAGAAGTTACTGTTCACGCGCGTGAACAGTAACACACCTTTTTCCTGTGGGAGCAGCATGCTCACCATGAGCCGCTCCCACGGTATACCAACTGATAATTGATGATCCAGGCCGGTTGGGCTAAACTTTTGTTATAAAATTGTAACCCTAACTCATCTATATAGTTTGACTAAAGCGTCTAACTGGGCTGACCCACATGTAACTAATAGGGCTGAACGTAGATGGACTTACAATAAAATTACAAAATAAACCATCTAATGTAATCAACTAAATGAGTGAAAAGAAATTATTACTAAAAAATGTAAAAAAAAAATAATAGTTCAAATGATCTATATCAAAGTTTTTTGAGGTGCACACTTGAAAAGGAGTTGTAAGATAAAGAAATACCACACTTAATTATTCTTCTTTATCTAAACTTGGGAAACTCTATCACAAAATTATACTCCATATCACTTAACTATTATCGTAACGTTATATGTTGGGCTGAGATGGGGCTTGATAGGCCAAGTCAATGGCCTTGCCAAATTAATGTAATTTGACGGCTTGAATTGCATCTATAAAAGTTAAACACTATTTGTAATTAATTAGGGAAACTCGATTCAATCAATTTTCGTAGGAAATATACAAAAAAAGTCTTGTTGCCAGACTACTCATTGTTCAAAGTAGAGTTGCACTTGATTCTTGATGACCTATTTAACTCAATAGATCACATGTTTTTCTATTGAATACACGTGAAAATTGTTGTGTTAAATCAGATAACCATGACCAAAAATTTAAATAATACATCAAAATGCATAATTGTTTATGATCTTTTAGACAACCAGATTGCATACATAAAAAGTTTTGAAAAATCCAAAATTTCAACTGTTACAATTTTTTAGGTTAAAATACATGAAACACAATTTTTTCATCCATGACACCTCCACAAATAATCTAATTTTACCTGAACTCATTTTACTTGTAATAAGCCGAAAAAAGTAAAAACAAAAATAACGGAAACGTAAAAGTAGAATGTTTAATAAAAAAGAGAAAAGGGTCAAATAAGACCTTATACTATTATGAAATAGTCACATAAGGCCATGTACTCAATAAAGTGTCATATAAGTACTTCTACTTGTATAAAACAATCAAATGAGTCCTAACGGCTTATTTAACACCTCCTAATCCCGTTTTTAGCGATTTTTTTGACTGGTATTTCAATCAATCTTAGTTAAATATTCGACATATGTTGTATAATGTATTCTAAAAAAATGATCAAAAGTACATTGAAACCAGGATTAAGAGGTGGTAAATATGTCATTAGGACTCATTTGATTGTTTTTTACAAGTAGAGGTACTTATATGACACTTTATTGAATAGATGACCTTATGTGACTATTTCATAATAGTAGAAGGTCTTATTTGACCCTTTTCTCAATAAAAAATGAATTTTTGTATACTAGAAATTAAATATGAAAATCAATTTAAGGCACCTTTCCAGCTACTTCAACTTTTTACCTTAAATTAAACTGCTTAATTTAAACAAAAAATGTTCTTTTAAAACACCAATTTCGGATTTTTTAAATCAAAAATTGAAAAACAATATTTTAAATTTTTGTAAATACTCCCTCGGAAATGTCAGGTATATTCGCAAAGAATTTGGCTATTTTTGCAAGGCCTTTAATGCCCAAGAGATATGGCCAAAAGAAAATGACTAAATTTCATCCAGAAAAAAAATGACTAAACATGGCAACTAGCTTGGTAGGCATCCTCTTCTTCAGGGTTGCAGATCCAAAGATCATCATCCAATTTACTAAATTCACCCAGCAGATATCCATAGTTATCAATTATGGGGACTCCATATTTCACAGAATAAATGACTTCTCTGCCATCAGGCATTGGGACCCACTTCCCCATCCACATATCTGCATCCCCTTCTTCTCCAATTATGTCCCAATTACTTGACAAGGAATCTGAGCTTATCTGAACATCAACAGATTCTTGATCGTGAGATACCTCGGAAGTTCCGAATGTGCCCAGAGAGACATTATCATCGCTATTCAAAGGCAGAGTCTTCGTCTTCTTCTTCTGCTCTTCCTTTCGTTTTTTGGCTAACTCGAATTTCATGTTCTTGGAGCGGTAAGCGGCGGCGGCCGCCTCCTCGGAATTGAATGTGCCCAGCCATAGCCACCGCCGGTTAAACGGATTCTTTATCCTCGCGCACCACCTCCCATTCTTTCTCTTCCTGACGCCAGGGTACGATTTTCTTGATAACTGGCCAGTACCCGTACCCGGATCCGAAACTAGGCTCTCCATGGACTCGGCCAATGGCGCTTGTTTCCCAGTTAACAGCGATGGATTCTCCGGTGCGGCCGTCCGGCGGATAAACCCTTCGAAAACTGAGCTTTTGGGCCGATTGATTTGCGTTTCTTGATCTGCTTCGTCGGAAGATGATTCCGTGGCGTCAGGGTCTAGGCCGGATACCAGAATTGTGACTCTCTTTAGATCCGCCGTCGTTCCGGTTGCCATGCTTTGCCGGCAAAACCTGGATTTGGTTCCTGGGTTTTCTTAGACAGAAGTAGGCAATATTTGTTTCCAACAATTACCCACCCTTATATCCAAAATATCTGTTCAACAACACAAAAAAGCTTTCACAAACATCGTTTTTGATTTGTTTCTGACAGACCGACAGAGCCGAATGTAGGAAAACCAGAATAATACTCTAGCTTAAATATTCTTGCCTCCTTTTGGGGAAAACGTTTTATCATCCGAAGAAACAAAGCATGTGTGATTTACCTACTAAGAATGGGCCTACGGATTATTTTGCCTTAGTCCAATCCAATGGAACCCCCATTCATGGGTTTTTCTATTCCGTATATAGTACTGAATTTAAATAGAAATAGGAAACACATTTTTTTGGCAAAGGAAACACATTAATAACATCCTTAATTCGATCATAGATGTTAATATTTGAATTGATACTCCGTATTCTTTTCTGAAATAAAACGTAATTCATTAAACTTTCCAAAACCCAAGTCTTAATTATTTGAGAATGATTAAGAAGGAGTTTATTCAAAATAGAAAATGAAATCAATTTAATTTCCGGGGGCATTTCCTCAAATTGGGAAAAAACTATTATTAATAAAAATTTATTTATTCACCTTAATGTTTGATAGCATCGGTGCGTCACTCCATGGAGGAGGTCCCGAGTTTGAAACTCATCCCAATCAATGATGGAAAATCAAATACAAAATTATTCGCAAATAAAAGAAGTGAAAAGTTGTTGTCTTAATTTAATGAAGCATTTAATAATTTCATAATTAATAAAAAATTAAAGGTTATGTGGAAATCTAATTATTAGTAGTTATAGGTTATAATGTACTCCGTGTAAATATATCAAAAGTTAAATGATTATTTTAGTATTTAAATTTATATTTAAAGTTGTAAAGTACATGTGAGATAGTAAAAAAATGTATAAAATAGTCATCATATTTATTTCCGAACATACATATTATAAATGATAGTAACTGTTATTATCTTTATTAGACAATAAAAACAAGGACATAAGATGTTATTTGCTAATTTTATATTCTCTTCGTCACATAATGTAAGATACATTTGAGTTTGACTTGGGTTTTAAGAAAATAAAGAGTAAATTAAATTAACAGTTTTACAATTCTAACCTCGAAATAGTAAAAAAAAGGTTTGTTTACTCTACAGGTAAACGATGAAATGATAGATAAAAGATAAAATGAGAAAGTAAAAAAACTAGTGGAGTTGAATATTTAGGAATTTTTTTAAACCCTATGGCAAACCATCATAAGATGGGGTAAGGGGTGGGGAACACCTTAGGAACACCTTACAGTTTATTACAGGATGAGAGGTAAACAAGAAACACGGTAGGAGGACTAGACCAAAGCCTACCAAATAGAGAACGCTATATAGTATAAGGAAAAGCAATAGCATCGAATTTAAGAATATTGTTGAATCTATTGGATTTTACATCAACTCCCATACTAATTTCTTTGGCAGCGCAGTTGATCTTTTCGTGAACAAGACTGAGGATGATGTGGTTTTGATGCAAAATCCTACGAATGCAAGAGATGGTGAAAATTTGATCCCGGTGCTTCACACAATGAAGGTTTACGGCTTGGAACACTCGTGCAATGTCAATTTGGATATTAGAGTAGTAGATGCCCAAGTCCCTACAAAAAATGAGAAAGTCATAGTAGACCTCAATGAAAGTCCTCGTAGTGGAGGTCGAAAAAAGAGTGCTTTTGTGATGAAAGACCATAACATCATTGTGGTTCCTCACCAAAAAACCAAAGCTGTGAGAGATGCCATTTTTTGTATGACCTATGTTTAGGGTTCTATGGTTAAGCACATGAGGATTCCCGGAAACCACTTTGGGTCTGCTTCTAATGGCCTTATTAGGTCTTTTAGTTTCATTGAGGGAACAAATTTCCCGTATGATATTGTAAATGGCCTCAGAGCAGTTTGGGGAGTGATGGTAGCATGGATCATTATCATGGCTCAAGATTGAATTAAAGCAAAGCCCATCAACAGGATCAGCCCATCAACGGGATCAGCTCATCGACGGGATCTGCCCATTAACGAGATCAGCCCAGACAAAGGGAACAACCCATCAACAGTATCATCCCAGACAAAGGATTAACGAGGAAGCCATACGAGCCTGAACAGGGAGATCCAAATCTACTACGAGGTTGGCCACGCCTAAGCCGACCTCGACAGCAGGGGCCAGGCTCAGTGGTCAACCCAGAGAGGTCGGACTCTTGCTAAGGCTCAAGAACGAGTCACTGGAACCCACAACCAGGCCAGGCTGGACAGCAGACCACGAGCCTGGGGCGGAGTTCTAGTGAGGCCGGGATAGTCCTTCGACTTTTGTAAAAGTGACACTTTTGGTACTCGACTTTTAATTTTTCCATTTTTAGTCCTCGACTATAGTGCGAGAGACACTTTTGGTATCCGTCTTTGAAAATTTCCGTATTTAGTCCTTCGACTTTTGTAAAAGTGACACTTTTAGTCCTTCAACTATTGCAATAGAGACATTTTTAGTCCTCCACTTATTGTGTCAAAATCATAGTCGAAGCACTAATAGTGTCAATTTGATAATACTCAAAGCACTAAATGTGGAAAACTTGAAAGTAGATGACTAAAAGTGTCTCTCTCACAATAGTTGAGGACTAAAAACGGAAAAATCAAAAGTTGTGTACCAAAAGTGTCACTGACACAATACTCAGGGGACTAAAAGTGGCAAAAACACTTTCCTAGGGTTTAGAAGAGTCATGGGCACAAAGGAGACATTAAAGACAGGAGTTACATCAGGAACGTTACAAGAGTCCTATTCGAATTAATATGCAATTAATAGCATTTGTTGTATCAGTTTCATACTAGAATACTAGTTCTTGTAGCCTATAAATACTCATGTACATCTCTTGTAAAGGGGAGCCTCTCTCGATTAATAATACATCTATTACTTTCTACGATTCATGAATATTTGATTGATTAAACTCTTTTCGCTGGAATTATATTCCATCATTGGTGCTTTCATTGAGAGCTTGATCAAAATCAAGTTAGAATTCTCCCAAATTTACAAAAACAGTTCATGGAGAGAGGAAAAGAAAACAATTTCGTACAACCCTACTGCTGCAATATGTTTTTCATCGCTGCGGCTTCGCTCACCGTTGGATCGGACTGAAATATTGACAGTATGTTCGTGACTTCTGGTACTTCAATCTGAACAATTGGATCGGTGAGAAGATGTCTGGAGTGGGAGAAATCGATCTCTCACAGTAAAAGAGAAAATTTGCTTCATCACCACTGACGAGCGTCATCAACTCTTGGGGGCTTCCGCCATTAATGGCCGATTATGAGCATTGGGCACGACAAAAGCGGCGGTAGTATCGAGGGTCCGCAGTTTGCTCCTCCGCAGTCGCAGCACCGCCAGACGCTGCTTTAAGTCTCTCTGCCACCTCGAGGATGACATCTTGTCTCTCCACAATGTCTTGAATAAATTTGCCGCACGGACAGATTAAGAGCCCTCACTGCTTCGCCACGCCACAGTGGTAGTTTTCGATGCCGTGACCGAACTCGCCGACAAAGACGACCAGATCTGCGACTCTTCGCTATAACGGTGGTTGCTGCAGCCGATATAAATGGTGCCTTGAGCCATACGTGTGCTGGACCAAATGCTCTCCTCCGCCAGCAAACCTGCAATTCTACGAACCATGGATAGGAGATGAAGTGTAAATTAAATTAACAGTTTTACAATTCTAACCTCGAAATAGTAAAAAAAAAGTTTGTTTACTCTACAAGTAAACGGTGAAATGATAGATAAACGATAAAATGAGAAAGTAAAAAAACTAGTGGAGTTGAATATTTAGGAATTTTTTTAAACCCTATGGCAAACCATCGTAAAATGGGGTAAGGGATGGGGAACACCTTAGGAACACCTTACCGTTTATTACAGGATGAGAGGTAAACAAGAAACACGGTAGGAGGACTAGACCAAAGCCTACCAAATAGAGAACGCTATATAGTATAAGGAAAAGCAATAGCATCGAATTTAAGAATATTGTTGAATCTATTGGATTTTACATCAACTCCCATACTAATTTCTTTGGCAGCGCAGTTGATCTTTTCGTGAACAAGACTGAGGATGATGTGGTTTTGATGCAAAATCCTACGAATGCAAGAGATGGTGAAAATTTGATCCCGGTGCTTCACACAATGAAGGTTTACGGCTTGGAACACTCGTGCAATGTCAATTTGGATATTAGAGTAGTAGATGCTCAAGTCCCTACAAAAAATGAGAAAGTCATAGTAGACCTCAATGAAAGTCCTCGTAGTGGAGGTCGAAAAAAGAGTGCTTTTGTGATGAAAGACCATAACATCATTGTGGTTCCTCACCAAAAAACCAAAGCTGTGAGAGATGCCATTTTTTGTATGACCTATGTTTAGGGTTCTATGGTTAAGCACATGAGGATTCCCGGAAACCACTTTGGGTCTGCTTCTAATGGCCTTATTAGGTCTTTTAGTTTCATTGAGGGAACAAATTTCCCGTATGATATTGTAAATGGCCTCAGAGCAGTTTGGGGAGTGATGGTAGCATGGATCATTATCATGGCTCAAGATTGAATTAAAGCAAAGCTCATCAACAGGATCAGCCCATCAACGGGATCAGCTCATCGACGGGATCTGCCCATTAACGAGATCAGCCCAGACAAAGGGAACAACCCATCAACAGTATCATCCCAGACAAAGGATTAACGAGGAAGCCATACGAGCCTGAACAGGGAGATCCAAATCTACTACGAGGTTGGCCACGCCTAAGCCGACCTCGACAGCAGGGGCCAGGCTCAGTGGTCAACCCAGAGAGGTCGGACTCTTGCTAAGGCTCAAGAACGAGTCACTGGAACCCACAACCAGGCCAGGCTGGACAGCAGACCACGAGCCTGGGGCGGAGTTCTAGTGAGGCCGGGATAGTCCTTCGACTTTTGTAAAAGTGACACTTTTGGTACTCGACTTTTAATTTTTCCATTTTTAGTCCTCGACTATAGTGCGAGAGACACTTTTGGTATCCGTCTTTGAAAATTTCCGTATTTAGTCCTTCGACTTTTGTAAAAGTGACACTTTTAGTCCTTCAACTATTGCAATAGAGACATTTTTAGTCCTCCACTTATTGTGTCAAAATCATAGTCGAAGCACTAATAGTGTCAATTTGATAA